ACGCACTACATCATGTACCTGACACCATCCAACTCTTCCATCAAATTTTGTTATTGACACTAGAACTAAGCGTCTATGGATCAGCTCAGTCAAGTATTCTCCTGCAACTTCTTCCAATGTTTTTCCATTCTGCTCTTCAACAAAACCCTCAGCTATCCATAGCCGAATTAGTCTCGCAGCTTTGATAGAGTAGTCTTCTGGCATTATGCCAAAGTACAAGAAACAAGATTTGAGGTGTTGAGGCAGATCATTATAACTGAACAACAAAATTTTGCTAATGCTTTTAAGTTCAGGATTCCTTTCCAACTCAGAGTTCATGCTACCATAGAATTTTTGCCATTCGGATATACCCTTGTTTTTGGTGGACAAGAGACCGCCTATAACTGCAATTGCAAGTGGCAAACCTTGACACTTTCTAACAATTGCTTGTGATACTTCCTCCAACTCAAGGGGACAACGACCCCCAAAGTCCAATTGGAAGGCTTTCGTGCAAAAGAGTTTCCAAGCCTTCTCTTGGGATAGGGCCTGAAGCTCGTGAACGCGATCCACTGAAGTTTCTGTGCAAAATGCAGCAACCTGTTCTTTTCGTGTGGTGATAATTATCCTACTGCCTTCACTATTTTTGGGTAAAGCATGTCTCATGGATCCCCAAAAATCAGTTTCCCATACATCATCAAACACAATGACATACCTCTTTTCGGATAAATTTCCTTTTAGCTTGACAATGAGTGACTCAATTCCCTCATCAGGTAGAACATAAATTCCTGATAGCTCCTTTATCATTGTTTTGAGGAGCACCTCTGGCTTGTATGATTGAGAGACAGTGATCCACACTTTGCAATTGAAGTGTGCAACCACTTCTTGGCTGTCATATACTTTCTTGGCAAGAGTGGTCTTGCCAATTCCACCCATGCCAACCATCGAGATCACTGCTCGTTGTGATTGATTTTGGTCGACCAATCTGCTTATCAGTTCATATTTGGGAGATTCAATACCAACGACTTCGTCGTCCCCTATGAAAAGGGAAGCCAGTCGAGGGTCACGCCACATGTTGTCCTTGCTGCTGCTGCTATGTTCTGACAAAGTACTAGTACTGAATCCATATCGATCAACTCCTTCCTTGATCTCACGGATTGTAGTTTTGATGTCTTGGATCTGAGAAGCTATCTCATGTCGTGGCTTTAGCTTAGTGAACGTCTGAGTGACTTTATGCAAGGAACCGAATAGTCCAGGTTGTTTTGGCAAGACCAAGAGAATGTGTTCATCGATAACATCTTGTATCTGATAAGCAACTTGCCTTACTTGTTTCACCCATATTTTCACACCTTCATCTCCAGTTTCTGCTCTTGATTCTGCATCTTTTAAGAAAGAGTTGTATGCGCTCCAATTCAGCTTTGATACTGACCATTTCCTTGCGAACACCCCTCAACAACTCTACTTCACTGGCTAACAATGGTCCCAAATATTGAATAACAGAGATCACTGCTCTTTCTGCCATTAGTTCTCCCTGCGCTAAACACATCATAACCATTAGTTTTGATTATGCTTCAGGTGGGATTGTGTCCATGTAGAAAGGAAGGAAGTTAGATGATGATGATGATGGTGAAGTTTCAATTCAGTGCATTGCTCTTGTTTAGTTTACGAGAGAGGTGGTAAAGTTCAGTCATGGAGAAATTAATTATTTTGGCCACATTTTCCTCCAAAAGGTTAGATAAAAGAATAGATTTGATTCACATTTTGGGTCTTGCAATAAATAAATAAATAAAACCTTTTATTATAATTGTAGTTTTAATTTTTAATTATTTTCAAATTATAGACTCGCCCCTACAGACTTTTTGAAAAAAAAATAAGTGACTATCCCCTCTAGTTTTTTTTTGTTTTTTTTTTTCTGAAAAAAAAAAATTAAGTGAACACAACAATGATCGATGGTAACATACATATTTGAGTGTAAAAGAGATACAACATCATTTTTTATCCCTAGATCGTCCTTAGATTGTGCTTCAATCATGAATATGAGTAGGAATCTATGAAAGAAAAGTAAAGAAACACCGAAATCATCACTTTTAATAAGAATTTCATGGATTTTAATAACAATTTATAGAGGAAAAAGTATGCAATTGATTTTGGGCAATAATACCAAAGTGAAGATTTCTTGATTTAAGTAGAATCTTCATGTTTGTGAGTGATTTTTGTCTTTGTGGATTTAGAAAAGGCTAAAATTCAAGATGTGAGACTCTGATCAAGGAAATATTATTGTTGTCATAGCTAGAATTCTAAATATATTAATATTATACAGCTAAAAATGATTAGAAAAATATATAGATATGTGTTTGTAGAAACATACCTGTGTGGAAAGAGTCTTTGACTTACAGACTTTAGCCCTTGAGATTCGAATCATATACAAAGCATACACCTTTTTTAGCTCCATTATTCATCAGAATACAACCTCCACCAGCTGTACCTGAATAGATGGCCCATGGATTTATACTTGTATGGCATGTTTGATTGGAAGGATTAGAGTATGAGATTGAGATTATTAATTCGCGGGCTTAATTATTCTATGTTTGTTTTGACATTTTATTTTAGGATTATCAATCCAATGGATAATTAATCCAACAAATTTGTAGGATTATTAGTAATGGGGTACGGGTGAGATTGTAAATACCACACTAATTTGATTGGATTATTAATATCTCACTATTAGTATTGTGAAATCAAACATGGCCGTAGTATATACATAAATCTCCCTCAATCACTATTTAAATTCTGCTGTATGAGTCTCCTTTCACAACTTATATATATAATATAATACAAGGTGGTTTACTCCGGGAAATTTCGTGGCTCTTTGATCTCTCTTTTCTCTGAAAATGAAGTTTTAGTAAATATATTAGGAAAGAGTTAAGTACATTTAATCCATCTCAAAGAAGTCACTTTCATTCCAAATATCTTAATATGGTGGCTTCGTCTCAATTGAAAATCCAATTTCACACATATCTTTAACTAATTCACTTGTGAAGGCATTATTGAATGATAAATTAGAACATAAGTGCTTATTTAGCCTTCAATTTTCAAAACTTCTTTTATGGGCAAAAAAAAGAAAAAACGTTATATTTTATTAATAATAATGAAACATTGCAAAGGGGGACAGAAAAAGAAACTGAAGCAGGATAACCCCACCAACAATAAGACGGTACAAAGCATTTGTAAACTGCGAAAGAAATCCAAACAGAAAAGCAGAAGATTGAAAGTTGGCAACACAAAGCTCTCTGCCATTTTAGTTTCATGAATCATATAAAAATTAAAAAAGAAATCCAATCTAATAGAGAGATCACCACATTTCAGATCAAACTAGTCTCTAACCTTAATACAAATACCAAGAAACAACCCAAGAGGCTATCCGCATTAAAACACAAAAATAAAAATAGAAAGGCCGTAAATTTAATATTAGAATACGACTGACCGATTCTTATTGTCTCACTTCCATGATAATGAATTTGTTCACACTTTTTTTTTTAGTGTATGAAAAACACACAAAATTTGATTGGTCCAAATATATAGACCCCATACTCAGAAAGTGTAATAGCCTCATTTAAAATGGTAGATTCTACTACTTTACACCAATCAAAATGTATGTATGGTAAGTATGCCAATAAAATCAGACTCCGCTTCCATATAGTAGCCAAAGGCCTCCTTCAAACCATTATATTTCTATTGAGAACTGTCTCCCGCGATCCCTGGAATTTTCTTCCCACGAGGATACCATCCAAATAGTTTAAAGCATGAAAATTAATTTTAAAGGTGGTACTATATGTAAATAAATTTCATAACAATGCTTAACTAGTATCTATTAATGGGTTTCTAGGAGAGGTTGGATTTTGAGTTTGTTATTTCTGTTGTATTCAATCATTGTCTTAGTCTATTATTGAGCAATAATATACAAATAAATAGATTACTGAACTATCATAAAATCTTATGTGGCCTAAAGCATCAGATGAGATGGGTGCATCCTTCACATGTTAGATATAATTAAAACAACACTGTTACCATCACCGCTAAGTTTGATCATTGTTTTTTTATTTTTTCCTTAGATTAGGTTGTTTGGGGTATAGATTTTATGGTTTAAAGTCCTAAACTATTCAATTTCAATTTAGGCTTTTTTCCTTGTATAAACTCCCTACAAAAAATGACCAATTTGGGATCGATGTAGATTTTGTGAGAACCCAAAATCTAGTGATGTGGATGTTATTTGTTCTGCATTTTGTAGAAACAGTAAGGAAGCCCATTTAGTGTGTGCTTTTTTTTTTTTTTTTTTCAAAATTTTCTAAACCATGGGTGAGAAAAAATGAACAACGCCGAAGCTACATTCAAAGTCACCAACACCAGCTTCTGAGAGGACCAGTGGACACCGATTGATGTTGTGACAGATATAGGGCTCTACAGAGTTGGTTGTTATTCGAAAAAATGATTGCGATTTCAAACCCAAAACCATACTTAAGATTTTGCTCTGAAATCAATTAAAAAACTAAGTTCATCTAAGGAATTAAAAATATTGTAGGAGAAATCTTTCATCAAGTAAGCATTTGAGTAGCATGAAAATGAATTTTAAAGCTGGTATTTTATGTAAATGAATTCTAAAATATACACCTTGCAATTCCGTTGGAATCAAACACTGAGATTCACTTTTGGATGTATTTTAAATATCATTCCATTAATGATTTAGATGATTATCGGAAATTGAATAAAAGTTTGACTTAAAAAAAAAAAAATTTAGATGATTATCTAAAATGCAAAACTTCAAGAACGAAATTGGCAAAATAAAATTTTTGAAGGCCAAAGCAACACAGAATACCTACTTTAAGTATCATATGATTGTCTGGGAGATAATTCCTCCCTAAAATACAGTAGGAATTAGCAGATGAACCAATAAAGGTTCAGTTACAATGATTTGAAGAATAAAAATAATAGAAAGAAAAGAACAAAAATAGAAATTGGAGAATAGATACAACAAGAAGGAATGTATGATCATATGTTTGTCTCAATTAAAGTTACACAATTGTGGTTATCACGAAATAAGTCTTGATAACAGAAATCCAAAACACTGCCTTGGCAAAAAACAATAAAAACAGTAATAAACATGTCCATCTTGACAGAGATGTCACACTTTTTACTTTGCAATCCAAAGGAAATAAAAATCAACGGTGATAAAAGGGGTTTGTTCAATCATAAGGTTATTGGCAGCTTGGAGTACTTGAATTCTGGGTGCCTCTGCCATTGATTTCCCTTCAACTGTATGTGTTGCCGGTGATTGACCTAACAATTACAAAACAAATACTAAATGTAAGGACATATCAATGAAACAATGAGTAGTAAAAGTATAGGTGACTTACACTACATTTGTTTCGATAGAAAACATTTTGGGTAAATTACACCATTACTCCCTATAGTTTAAGTGAAGTGTCACTTTAGTCTCCATAATGGTGGTGCTAAGGCAGTGATGGTGATGGTGGACGTGCTGGTGGTGGTGATAGTGGTACTGGTAGGGTAGTGGCGGCGACGATGATGACAATAGTGGTGGTGGCAAAAAACATTTTGTAAAAAAATATTTTTTTGTCGAAACAAATGGAGCATCAGTTTGGAAAACTTCCTCTCTTCTATATTATTATGACAACCAACGAACATAAACAAATGGAAGGAACTATAAAATGATAGAATTCTATAAACAATATTATGAAAGATAGGTTATTAAAATGAGCACTAGCATTTTCAGATTATAATGATGCTCACGATTTTTGTTGACACCAGCATTTTGAGATTATTATTAAATAATAACAACAAAGTAATCTAATAGAGCAATTATCATCTTGTTCAGGTAAGCAAAAATATTTTATCAGTTTCTAGTTACAAACAAACATTGCAATTGAGTTGAGTGGGGAACCTGGAATTGAATTTGCATCCGTAACCGTAAGATTCATTATTCAGCTTCAGTAACCCTTTGGTTTTTCACCTTCCTCTCAAAATATTTTTGAAGAGTGCCGCTGTTCTAATATCCAGAAAAGCCCCACCGAGACCAGAACAGGACATTAGGTATATGCTCAACAATCCAATAGTCTTTGCCTTGGTTGGGTTGGGGTTGCATTCTATCTAAGAATTTTTTCAGCATATTAATAAACGCAAGAGTTTTGAGTTTTTGGAGGTCGTGGATGCCAGAGGGTACCTTCTTTAGTTCTGGGATAGACCCAATCCTTAGCTCTTTAAGAAGAGGCAATGCTCCTTCCTTTATTATCACTGACTTCAATCCCTCCAATTCAAGAATTGCTGCCCATCACATGCATTCCAAAGATGAAGATGTTCTAAACTAGGCAAGGCTTGAAGGGCTTTTAGTGTATCATTGGACAAACTTGAATGCAATAGAGATAATTTGACTAGATTTTGAAGTTTTGGGATCCAGTCAGGCAACTCCCCTAAACGTCCACCCAAGTTGAGACGCTGAAGATATTGAGGCAGAGACGATATTTTCTGTAAATCCAGAATCTCATCATCACTTAGGGCTGCTACCTTCAAATATTTAAGGTAATTCATCTTCTCAATGGTGGCACATAGAGCCCACCCACGTTCCCTTCTCAATTTCGTTATGCCCAACTTCCTTAACTGCATCAAATTCCCAAGCTCTTCAATTAGGCTGAGCCCATCATCATGATTTGTTTCCACATGCCACAACTTTTGCAGCTCCTGTAAATGCCCAATCCCTCCCTGTATCCTCACTCCTCTTACAATATCCACTATGTTCGTGCATCCACAATTATGGTAATAGGCAAGAAGATGTTGCAACTTATGAAGCCTATTGATATCAATTGGTAGCTCACTCACGAGGGAATATTTCAAATCTATAGTCAATAAGTTGTGCAAATTACCTATGGACTTTGGAATTATCTGCACTCCTGTTCTCCTTACACTTAGGTACCCCAAAAAATATAGATTTCCTACTTCTTCATGAAGTTAATCCAAAGGAGCACCCTCAAGATCTAGTACATTCAAAAGCTGAAATTTGCAGCTAGTGAACACAATAAGGGCCTCTTTGGCAGCTTGCCCACTTCAAAAAGAAAAAAAGGCATGAACTGGGGATTTACCAATGCTTTCCATAACCTTTTCCATACTGTAATAATGCATATGCATAGACAGCTGGCGAGTTGTGTCATTAAAACTTGAATTCTCTTCTGTCAAAAGTTGACAGAAACTAAACTCCTCAGACACGGAGAGAATAAGCTTATGCAGTAGAAGATTTACCCGACAGTATTTAAGTGCATCATGTACCCGGTACTCTATAACTACTCTTCCATAAAGTTTTGACTCTGACACTCAAAGTAAGCGTCTTTGGGTCGGCTCATTCAAATATGCTTCTGCAACTTCTTCTAATGTTGTGCCTTGTTTGTCTTTGTTAGGTTTTATTTCTTGGCAATCCCGTTTGACAAAACTCCTTTCAGTTGTATTTATTTTTGCACATTTATTTCAGTGAGGCTATGAGTGTTTAGATGCGAATCCAACCCGAATTGAGCCTTTCAGAGAAGTTTAAATGCATTCAAAGTTGCCTGTTCGATCATGTTATATTTTTCCAGTTTTTCCAGTTTTGGCCTGTCCGCTCGAGCGGGGAAAGGGACGCTCGAGCGGGGATTGGAAGCTCTCAGCATCTCTGCAGTCGCCTGTAAAAATACTGGAAGGTGTGATTTTACGCTCGAGCGGATTCTCCTACGCTCGAGCGCATCTCAGTTTGTTCGCACGCAGTTTTTGGTCAGTCCGCTCGAGCGGGCTGTGTTGAGCTCGAGCGGAGATCGCGGGACAGATTCTATAAATTCGCGTGTTGGGTCAGATTTTTAGAAACTACAGAAAAAGTAAAATCAAATCATTTGAGCCATTACTAAACAATTTTCATGGGTTGAACAAGAAAACAAAAGGAGTACCAAGAGAACCTGAAAGTAGGCCGCTCTGCTTCTAAGACAGCCCAAATAAGTTTTTCAGCATCAGTCTCTAAAGTAGGCATAGCCCCCACCTTATGGAAGAATCTTATCTGCGAAAAACAATGTTTATACTTAGCACAGGCAAGTAGCAGGCCCTTTGACATACTTGAGGTACTGCATCAATTAGACACCAGCTCGGTGGAGAAGAAACAAAAAAAATGGGCACTCAGTGATAAAATGTGTAATTGTACTGTGATATTGCAAAAGCTTTTGTTTCCATGCTCATTCAATTAGGTATTGACAGAGATGCATACCAAACAGCGATGTGAGTCTGGGTTTTCAGCATCCAACCGTTGAAGTTGCTTTACAGCCTTCAGAGGAAAAAAGAAAAATAAAGAAACTGCATTCAGCCACTTCTCTAGCAGAACATGTAATTAAAAATACATACCAATTTCATTGGTAAACACTTGCTTTTTCCCAAGATGTTTTAATAATTTATCATAGTTTTTAAACATTCAGTGGAACAGATTTCCAGTTCGGCAAAAAATTAAATGCTGATATTACCTTTAGTTGACATGATACAACCAAATAATACAATGGATGAGTGATTTTTTTTTTTTTTTTCAAAAATAAAATGTGTAGCGTAACAAGTTCCACACTAGATATAAAACTACCTGCAAGGCGAGCAGAATTTTTTGCTTTCTCATATTTAGTTCAAAAGCAAACAGGTGTGTCTCTAAGGAATCAGGTGAGTGCTTCTGAAGCAGCTTCAAGTACTTTGTAGCTTCCAACAATGGATCTTCAACCTACATGATCAATATACCCAAGTTAACAGATGCTGTCTACATTAAAACATAAGAGATGATCTCAAAGAAGACCCACAAACTCCAGAAGCCGTCAGAAACCTGCTGCTAAAAAATAGAAACTAAAAGATACATGATGCACAAAAAACCTGCAACAACTTATCCCCATTTGGATCAAGATCTACTGGTTTGACAAGTCGTTTTCCAGACTTAGAGACGCCACTAAAATTTGATTCTTCATTTTTCACTTCTGCCTCCTAAGCAAAGGAAGAAAATTAGGATGCAAGTAATTCAGGCAGGAAAAAAAATTTACAAGATACTAGAGAAACAAAACTAAAGTACTTTCTTAGCTCGAGCTTCTGCTTTTTTCTGCTTTTGCCTCATTTTCTTCTTCTGAGAAGCAGGCAACTTTGATATTTCATCATCTTCTTCAGCTGATGACTTTGGAGGTGAATCATAAAGTTTTATATAGCACCTGCACCACAATTTAGATAATCATCAATGCGCAGACAGAACAAGAACCAAGTTTCAAGTGATCAATGAATGGCGAATATTATGACTGAACAAGAGTTGCACTACTGTGATGGAGTCAAGGGAACCAAACATCTCAGTCTACAATCCAAAATCTCGTTAGCAAGCACATTGACATCCACAAAGTAGTGGAAAGGGGAAGAAAACGCATCATCGAAAATCATTTGAAGTCTCATTGGTTGAACATAAAAAAGAGCTTCACCTGATAGCTCCAGCTGCTGCTTTGCGAAAATATTCATGTGAATGCAGTCTATCTTGAAATTTCAGCATTTCTACGTAGGTTCGTAGAGTCATCTTTCTTAAGCAATAAGAGTGGAAATCAAATTGGTCTTCAGTTATATCTGCATAATGCTTCTCCACAGCTAAGAATTTTTTCAAAGCTCGTCCAAGGTCACCTTGGCGGAAGTAACTTTCTCCAGAAGCAAGTTCATACCTTCCAAAGATTGATATTTTAACAGAATTACAAGGTGCAACTAAATTGCAAAAAATGCTTTTCTACACCAAAAACAAAAAGTATGGGGCTCCAAGACAGACGCACCACATACACTGCATATCATGAAGGTTGTTGTGTTGATCTCCTTCTTTTGTGAACAAAACAGCTGTCTTCTCTGCTAATGCCACCTTCGAACAGAGAAAGTTCCATATGAAAACATAATCACTTTACAGAGTACAAGGGAAAAACAAAAAATATGAGATAAATGACCGTATATGAATATTGTTCTTAATGTAGAGAAGAACATAAAAATGCAGCTCAGTAACCTGATCAGCCTCCAGCATACGCTTAACACATTCACTATTTACATAGCGATCCGCAAGATCCATACACCTAGCTTCATCTGCCAGTGCAGCAGCAGCTACCAAGTCACCAGCATGTTTCAATATCCGGCCCTATGATCAAAGCAACATTAGTATTTTTCAGCAGAAGCAGGACAACTAATCGTAAAATATCTTGGAAGTTATTCTTCTTTATAGCGTATGGCATTTCAATCAAACTGGGAGATCATTTCTCGCATATAGAAGACAAATTTCAGATAACACTACTACCATAACCCTATAATAGGAAATAAATGAATAAAACCAAACCAAAACCACAAATGTCAATAATGCTGTGCTATATGGACTCTTCTATTCCCCCCACAATATCCGTGCCCACCGGATATGACATGGGCAAGGGTGTGGGATATGTGTCCGACACTCGTACCCAATTTAGACACTTGGATCCTTTAATTTGTTACAATATATGAGAAGAAGAAACTCACAATTGCTAGCAAAGCAACATTTTTAGCCTCTGACATTAGTTTGATATAGAAATTTCATTTTTTTCTTGAATCCTATTCAATGTCAAGTATATTTCTATATAATTTACAACATTCATCTGAGAATATTATAAAATATGCAATATATGTGTATATGACACATCCCCACACCCATATCCAATTTTGGATACATATCTCAAGATCCTAAAATTTAAATTTATGAAGATCTGATGCTTCGATACAAACCCGCACTCGATGCTCATATCCAAGTCCATAATGTATATGAAACAACTATTTTTGGAGTCTTCCGCCTTAGTGATTATTTTTTTTTTATGGACTTCTGGCATTGTATCTTTTGCTTTTCTAGAGGAATTGACCTATACTAGCATATCTTGGGTGATGTTGAGTCTCTTAACCACCTACCATCTTTTTGCATCTCCATGGCTTTCCCCTTAATTCTTTGCAGTCTAGCCATGAGGAAAAGGCTACCTCAGAGTCACTAACCAGGCCATCCTTATTATATCCATGCTTCTCTGGTTTGGTTTCCATACTCTTGAGCGTGTCAGCCACCAATGATTGTGCAAAAGAAAAAGAGGAAGAAAAAGAAAAAGAAAAAGAAAAAGAAAAAGAAAAAGGAAAAAAAAAAACAAAAATGTGCAAAAGAAAGAAAAAAAAGGGAAAAGATTCATTGATTGAGGGGGAGCCTCCGCCTTTACTCACCAAATACCCCTTGATTCCTAGTGGTTTGACTTTCCTTTGTTGTGCTTAGATTCTCTTGTCGGAGGTCCGGCTTTCATATCACTACTAGGATTGAATCTAATGTTTGTCGAACTCTAAGAGTCACACACACACTTTTATCATGGGATCTATGCTTTTCAGTTTATGCATCACTTTCTTTCATGAGGAATTTTCTACAGACTGTGCACATTGTGTTTACTAGTAATGGTGCTTCTTGGATAATCTTATGTGTTTTAAGGTACTAATCTGAAATTCCTTGCTTGCTCCACCATATTATTTTTATCGTTTTCTTCTTGTTCACTGTTTTTAGTGTTTGTGATTGCTTTTAGTGAGGGGGAGTTTGGTTCATCTTGATTTGGGTTGGTAAGGGAGTTTGGTTTTTCATTACAAGAGTTGTTTAACATGAACACTTTGATATGTTTGGTAAGGGAGATTGGCTATATGTTTTGCATGTTCCTATGCACTGTTTGCCCTTCTTGTATGTTCCTGATATTTACATCGTCATATCATTGTTTGTGTGGTTTATGATCTTGCTCTTGTTGTTTGAGAGTTGTAGTTCCTGAGTCTTAGTTTTTCATCTATTCATGTTTTTCATCTCATGTTTCAAGATAATCTTGTCCTATGTTTATTGTTTTTTCATATATTCTTGTGGGACTAATAGTTGTTTTGGAGATTGTGGCACTAATAACTGTTTTGCAGATCTTAATCTTGAAAAAGAAGTTGGCTTTTGTTGGCTGTAATGGGTTGGGGTGTTTAGGATTTTATTTGTTAGGTGTGTTTTGTCACGGCAATGCCAAAGGGGGAGATTGTTAGGTTTTATTTCTTGGCAATCCCGTTTGACAAAACTCCTTTCAGTTGTATTTATTTTCGCACATTTATTTCAGTGAGGCTATGAGTGTTTAGATGCGAATCCAACCCGAATTAAGCCTTTCAGAGAAGTTTAAATGCATTCAAAGTTGCTTGTTCGATCATGTTATATTTTTCCAGTTTTTCCAGTTTTGGCCTGTCCGCTCGAGCGGGGAAAGGGACGCTCGAGTGGGGATTGGAAGCTCTTAGCATCTCTGCAGTCGCCTGAAAAAGTACTGGATGGTGTGATTTGCCGCTCGAGCGGCAAAACCGACGCTCGAGCGTAGAGCCTGTATGAAATCACAGAATTTGAAGTCTCCGCTCGAGCGGGAAGACCTACGCTCGAGCGGACCGCGCGATCCCAGATTTCCAAATTTGATTAAAGAGTTGGTTGTCTTCTGAAATTAGGATTGCTTTGGTTTTCTATAAATACTTGGTTTTCTCCCAAAACTAAGTGATTGATTGAACTTCTCCAGATCTTATTTTTGGATCTTAAGGTTTATATCTGGAGTTTTTTTGCTAGTTTTCTTTGATGTTTTTATTGAGTATTCAACTCATGATCTAAAGAGAGTACATCAAAGGTTTGTTTGTTATACACAAAAGAGAGAGTTATTCTTCAGTTGTGGATTCTGAAGAATTCGAGCCTGAAGCTTTGGTGGAATCCGGAGTGGCTCATCAGAAAGACAATTCCGTGGTGAAGATGGGGTTGGAAGAGGCACATAGAGGTTGGTTCAATTAGGCGTTGTGGATTCGCTAGGTAATTGAGAGTATACCTGTGTAATTCCTTTAAATCTTCTTAGTGGATTGTTCTTGTGGCTGTTGCCCGTGGTTTTTTGATCACAGTTGGAGGTGTCCAATTGTGATTTTTTCCACGTTAAATCATTGTGTCTCTTTGTCTTGATTGTTTGATTGGGATTGTTATATTCTGCTTAAAATTGATACATAATCACAAATCAACATTTAGAGGATTTCTAGAATTTTCACTCTTGAACGAAATTCTCAGCTATCCACAACTGAATCAGTCTTCCACGTGTGATAGGGTACTTATCCGGTATTATGGCAAAGTACAATAAACATGATTTGAGGATGTGAGTCAAATCTTGATAACTCAGCAACAAAATTTTTACGATTGTAAGACAAGGATTCCTTTCTAACTCAGGATTCCTTTCCAACTCAATGCCCATGGTATCATAGAATTTTTGCCATTCGGATAAAACCTTGTTTTTGGTGGACAAGAGACCGCCTATAGCCACAATTGCAAGAGGCAATCCTTCACATTTTCTAACAATTTCACGTGATATTTTCTCCAACTAAGGGGGACGAACCGCAAAGTCTCGTTGGAAGGCGTTCTTGCAAAAGAGTTACCAAGCCTTCTCTTTAGATGGGGATTGAAGCCCTATTGAAGATCCTTTGCAAAAAGCAGCGGCCTGTTCATTGCATGTAGTAATAATTACCCTACTGCCTTTGCTATTTTGGGGTAAAGCATGTCTTATGGATCCCCAAAAGCCAATTTGCCATACATCATCAAACACAATGACACACTTCTTTTCGTATAAATATCCTCTTAGCTTGGCAATGAGTGAATCAGTTCCCTCATCAGGTGGAGGAAGAACATTGTTTCTTGATAGTTGCTCTATCATTGTTTTGAGGAGCTCCTCTAGTTTGTATGATTGAGAGACAGAGACCCACGCTTTGCAATCGAGTGTGCAGCCACTTCTTGGCCGTTGTAAACATTTTTCACGAGAGCAGTTTTGCCAATTCCACGCATACCAACCACCGAGATCACTGCTTGTAATTGATCTTGTTTTGCTAGCAATCTGCCTATCAGTTCATATTTAGGAGATTCAATGCCAACGTTTTCGTCATCCTCTATATAAAGGTAACCCACTTGAGGCTTATGCCACAACTTCCTGGTGATACTGCTGCTGTGATTGTTATGTTCTAGGAAAGTAGTCAATCTATATCGAACATCACTTTCCGTGATCTCACGGATTCTAACCTTGATGTCTTTGACCTGAGAAGCAATCTTATGTTGTTGCTTTAGTACAGTGATCCATCGTGTGCCTTTACGAAAGAAACTGATGAAAAAACCAAATTATCGAGCATGTTTTTCCAAGACAAGTCTGCGTTCATCGATAACGTCTTTTATCTGATAAGCAACTTCCATTACTTGTTTCACCCATATTTTCACACCCTCATCTCCTGCTTCTGTTATTGAATCTGCATCTTTTAAGACAGACTGTATGCACTTCAATTCATCTATGAAATAGAAAATTTCTTTGCGGACACCCTTCAACAACTTTACTTCATCGGCTAACAATGGTGCCAAATATTGAATAACAAAGCTCACTGCACTTTCTGCCATACTTCTCCATGCACTGCAATGAACACAAAAGGTGGATACAAGCTCCATAAATTTGACATAACTATAAAACAAAAATTGTTAATAACAGATAAATATCAAAAAGATTGTTATTCCTCCTAGCCAAAAAATAAAGTTGATGAGGCCTCATATACTCAAATCATAATTTAGTTATTTTTTCCCTTTCTTTCCCTTCTCTATCTGTACTAGATTAAATAAATGAAAGACATATTTGCTACAATGTTCTAGATCAATAACCATTTTTCGGTTTGGTTTGGCCCCAAAATAGTTAGGTTTGCTAAAAGCTTAATATCTTGTAACAACATCAATATTTCTTCTCAATTGAAAAAATATGTTTAAGAAAAGTTTCATTGTAACAACTTAATTAGTAATTTTGTATCTTGTAAAGTAAGAAAATCTAAATTTAAATATTAAAAGGCCTCTCTGTTCAAGAAGTCGCCTAAAGTTTCAAAAATAATTGGGCCGCTCCCGATGATAATCGATAATAACATATATATATATATATTTGGGTGTAAAATTGATGCAAACACAACAACATGATCGTAGATTTGAGTAGAGATTTGTAGATTATTTACTCAAATAATGATCCAAAACAGAAGAAGATAGTAATGGATTGTAGAAATTAGGGGTGGGCGCTGGTTGTGTTTTTTCAATAGACAATGAAAACTATTGCTACAATACAACCTTACCAAAAAAAACAAAACAAATATCAACAGTTGTATCAAAACAAAACAAATATCAACAGTTGTATCAAAACAAAACATAAACAACATTTAGAAACAATCCTATCTAAAAAAAATTAAAAATAAATAAAAAAATCTAGAAACAATGACACACAAATTTTTGCTTAATATATGCTCATGTGGACAAGTGTGCTCATGGACAAGTTTGGGAAAATTTTAGGGAAAATTTTGGGCTTAGGGTTTCAAATAATTAAGGTTTTTCTAATTTATTTTTATTGTCTGAAAATTGAATTTTTTATTTTTTTATTTTTAGTGAAATTTTCAATATTTTAAGTAATTTTTTTTACTTTTTATACAGCATCGGTCTGCCAATGCGATGGATGTAGATTGAGCGGACTGGCTGCAAATCGGTTTGGCGATTTAAAATTTTATAAATTTTCAACATAATTCAACTTATGCACTTCCTCAAAAAAAAAAAAAAAAAAGTATTATAGTCAATAACTTAAAAAAATATTACAATCACTGCAAGTTTCATCCAAAGAAAGAAAGATTGAAACTTTAGAATATTATAATCACTACATGCCTCATCCACATATTACAATCATAGCATGCCTCATTCACATAAAGTATTCCAACATGTGGTTCTTAAAATATAAAAATAATTCAAACTATCAAAACCATGAATAGAGTAGTCGTTCTTAAAATATAAAAATAATTCAAACCACAAAAATCATGAACAGAGCAGTAGTAGAGATTATATGCCTCTGTATTATTATATTTATATGTATTTTTGAAAATAAAAACCAATCAGCATATATCAACTTTTTTATTTATTATTTTTAGAGTTAAATTTAAAAACAAAAAAATAGAGATAAATAATATATTTATTTTTTTCAATTCAAAAAATATATTCAAGTTAAAAACTCTTTTTCAACAAAATATTTAAACTCTTTTTCAATTGAAAACACAAATAGAATATCTAAACAAATTGAAAACACAAAGTCTTACAAATTACCAGAGATGCTTGCGGTTTGGCGGTTCGGTTGCGGCCAAAGGAACCACAAATCTGCCATCCGTCCAAAACTAGGCGGATTGAAAAAAATCAATTCGCAACCGTCTGCTTGTTATATCCAAAATACGGCAGATCGGTTTGGCTCAGTTGGTTTAGGCGGATCAATATATCCGCTGCTCACCCCTAGTAGAAATAAACATACCAGCAAGCAAGCAGAGATTGATGATGAGCAACTCTCCATAGAAGAAATGATATAAAGACCGAAATTTGTTGCTTTTGTCAGATTTCAGCAAAAGAAGGACTTTTGAATTTTTAATAGATGACTTAAAAAGCCAGTGAGAGAAGAAAGGCCATAATTTTAGTTTGGACAAATTATAAAAAAAAAATAAAATAGAATTTAGTGTATTTTTCAATTTGAATTTTAAGATTTTAATTTTAATAATTAAAATTTTGATATTATTTCTGTGTCACAATTTACACCCTCCATCCATGTCCATTGATGAACTTACGAATACTTTCATTTTTGGCACAATTTTCATCCCAAAACGGCATCGTTTTGCTCCTATGCTAGCTATATACACATGCAGAGTGTGATCATACCAGGAAAAGAGAGAGAGAGAGAGAGAATGAGCCACTACTAAAGAAGGGAGACCGAAGGTAGCATCCAAGCGGCACAGCCATGGCCATGGTTGGTTGAAGAAGAAGGAAAAGGGAAAGCAAAATGAGAAAGAAAAGAGGAGCCAAAGCTCAGAGATGGTGGCGATATTGGCACTGACACGATTGGAGATTCGGTGGCCACCGCGAGCTCGGTGGAAGGGCATGAAGGAAGAGGAAAAAAGAGAATAATTGTAGAAAGGAATGAGGAATGAAGAAGCATGGAGATGAAGATAGAGGAAGAAGAGAAAAAAAAAAAATCTTATTTTTAGCCAACTTTCGAAACTCCGACAGCATGCAAAAAGAGATGGAATAAGGTGTATGAGGGATGGCATGGAACTAGGCTATGAGGTGAATCCAATGACGCAAAAAAGAAATGAAACGGAGTTACGACGAAGGAGATAGAAAGGTTTGAACATGTGGGTTTAAATCTGAAAACCTCACTCCATCTTCTTCCTTTAGCAGCACGTAGAGAGCAATTTTTTTATATTCGAACCCACCTGTTCAAGTCCTTACGAAGAGGAAGATACAAGGGTTGACCAGGTGGGTTGGAATATGAAAACCTCACTTCATCTTCTTCCTTCAGTAACACGCAGAGAGCAAATTTTTTAAATTCAAACCAACTTGGTTAAGCCTTTGTATCTCCCTCATCATAACTTCATTTTGTTTCATTTTTGCCTCGTTGGATTCACCTTATGGCCTAGTTTTCATTTTGCTTCTTATACACCTTGTTTCACCTCTTTTTATATGTTATCGAAGCTCCGAAAGTTGGCAAAAAATAAAATTTTTCTCTTTTATTTTTATTTTTATTTTTATTTTTATTCTTTATTCTTTATTCTTTCTTTATCTTCATCTCCATGCTTTTTCCTTTCTCCTTCATTTCCACAATTATTCTCTTTCTTTACCTCTTTCTTCATGGCCCTTCCACTAAGCTCGTGGTGGCTGATTGTGGCGGTGTAGCCATCGCCACCACTGCCAAGTTTCGACTCCTTATCTGTTTTGCTCATTTTTCTTTTCTTTTTCCTTCTCATTCTTCTCGTTTTTCTTCAACCAACCATGGCCATGCCCATTGGCCATGGTTGTGCTGCTCAGGTGCCACCTTCAACCTCCCTTTCTCTATCTCTCTCTAGTATGATCACACCCTGTATATATATATATATATATTCATAGATAGATATGGGGTGAAGGAGCAAAACAACACGGTTTTGGGATGAAAATTGTGCCAAAAATGAAAGTATTCCTTAGTTCATCAATTGAAATGGATGGAAGGTGTAAATTGTGATACGGAAGTAATATTAGAATTTTAATTGTTAAAATTGAAACCTTGGGATTTAAATTGAAAAACAAGAAATCTTGGAGGTTTTTTTTTTTATTTGTAATTTGCCCTTTCAATTTTTCATTATCTAGTATAAAAAAACAAAAACAAAAAATATGTAAAATAAAGATATGGGTGAGATTTTTTATTTTATTTTGTATTGATGGATAATCTTAATATTATAAAAAAAAGAAAAAGAAAAAGAAAAATGATTTGCAGATATAAAAAGTATTTAAAAAATTGTAAGTCACTTTAATGAGTTATTTATTTATTTATTTAAAATAAATAAACACACATTATGAATTTTTTATATAAATTTTATTTTTGTATGCTATCGTCTATAAATATGTATATACAGAGTCAATTAGTTAATTTTTCACCAAATATCACCTTTAGTTAGTTTATCATTAAATCTCTTTCCCCAAATATCACCTTTAGTTTATCATTAAATCTCACCATTTGTTTTATGAGAAATAAGAGTGACATGATTACAGAGTTCTAACTCAACATTTCTCACAATTTGTTTTACCTAATTTTGAAAACATGACAAATAAATTTTTTTCTCATCATTTTTTTTTTTTGTAATTTATCAT